TAAAGATAAGATGAACCTGGAGATGGAATCTCATATCATATCAGCAAATTAGCAACAGAATATCATTCAATGCTTGCTATTAACCGTTTATTAATTTCGTTCGGACAAGCTATAATGGAAGTCTATATAATAAAATAGAGTGATAAATGATAGTGGACTAGGGTTAGCTAACGATTTTAGTAAGTTATTTAATGTAATTCTTTAGTTAAGTTTTTTTATTCATGTCGTTTTGTAATTTATTATAATGTAATATATAATAATTTAATATATCGTCGCCTAATTTTACTTTTATTATGATTATACTATTATATAAATAGCGATAATATAACGGAAGAAAGGGTATTGATTCTTTTTTTGTTACAGAGCCATTTTTAGTATCACTAATAGTATATGTTTTTTGCTCAATAAATTGTAAGGTTTTCGGCATTTTAATTATAGTTCTTAATTCTCAGTTTTCTGAAAATTCTCTTCATTTTCCATATTTTTTCAATTTTTTAATTTGAGCTATTTCTACATTACTAATAATTGTTGGAAAAACCGGAAAAATAATTGTATCACAAAATTTGTAAATTAAATATTTTTGCATATATAATTATTTCTTCGAATAATAAGCGTTTTAATGCTTTTCTTTTATGATTTTTGGCATTCCTAATGTAAATTTTCCTTACAGTTTTAAAGTTAGAAAGGAGATTAAGAAATATCTCAGAATTATGGCAGAGTACCTCGACGGCGAGAGGTATATTGGAGATATTTTTTATCATTGGATTTGGGTTAGGATTAGTTAACTTTCCTCCGCTCATATCGCAAATAGAGAATAAAAAAAATATAGAAAATAAATTCCTCAAATAAGTGCTATGAATCAGCTTATTAATCTCAAATTCCTACAATAATTTTTTGTACGTTTTTTGTACATTTCTTGTCTTCATTTGGCATAATTTTATTTTTTTTATAAAAAACAAGCTAAAAAACAAATTAAGCGTGCGAAACTTCTTATCTTGTAACGGACCTCATATCTATTAAGTCTTATGCTCAAAAATGAATAGAATCGGTCGAAGGCCAAAAGCGTGGCTGCGGCCGCAACTTTATATCGATTCTTTTTTGGGCACAATCGAAAATTTATTGTTCGATTTGTAGGCTTAGGCTTATGCTTATGCTTAAGTGGTAAGGTGTGGGTAGTTTGATATTTTTATTGTTTTTTTTATAAATCATGTAATTTTTTTAATATTTCGATTATTTGGTAATGTAATATATCGCTAATTACTTTTATTATTGTTATATTGTTATCTAAATAAATGATTTAATTATACGAGTTTGAGGCACGCGGCAAACGATCGAGTTACTATTACGATATCTTTTTTAAGGGAAAAAGATAACGGTTTCGAAATTTGAACGCTTCACGGATCCTTTTTTCGTTATATGGGGGCTCAGCCGGTGAGTAAAGTTTGAAACGAATCGACAGTACCGATTAAATTGAAATGAAACGATTTGCGTCAGATCATATATTTTTTTTTATTATTCCACTTTTGTCGATTACAAAAAGGCGAATATTGTCGATATGATAAAAACACATTAAATTGACGCTGAAGAGAATCGACGATTGCGTCATTAATTTGAAAGGCTGTTTACATTCTCCAAATACAACAGTGTATGAGGGAAAATGACGACTTGGATCAATGACTAGAATTGCCGAATTGATCCGAAATTCCGATGGCAAAATACGATCAGTTTCATTGATATTGGCTAACAGCCGGATAATGAGTCGACCAATCAATTTAATTCCATTAGAGATAACTGGCGACGTCGACAACGAAGAACAGTACGAATTTAGCTATCAAAGGCCCCTCCGGGAATGTGCTCAAAAATGAGCAGAATCGATTGAAGACCAACAAAAGCGTGGCTGCGGCAGCAATTCTATATCGATTCTTCTTTTTTGGGACACTATTTATATTTATATTTTATAATTTATTGTCCGATTTGTAGTCGTAGATAAGTGGTGGGGTGCGGGTAGTTTGATATTTTTATGGTTTTGTTTTATAAATCGTGCAATTTTTTGTTTGTTATTTCGATTATTTGGTAAGATTGTGAGGTAATATGTTGTTAATTATTTTTATTATTATATTATTATCTAGATAAATGGTTTAATTATACAAGTTTGAGATACGCGGCGAGCGATCGCCGCGTAGGGGTCACAATACCTTTTTTAACGGAAAAGGATAACGACTTCGAAATTTAAACGCTTCACAGATCCTTTTTTCGTTATAAGGCTATAATCAAATAATTACAGTTTTTATGCACATAACTGTTAAATATTCGTTGCATACCATTCTCAGTAAAATGTTTTGTTTATTCAAATCAAAACTACATATATGTAAAATAGCTCATTTTCGAAGTTGAATCTACTCTGTTTTCTTATTTTATTTTTTCGTAATAATTTTTAATTTTACTCATTTTATGTTATTTTATTATTTATGATTTTGTGTTACAATAAGAATAAAATTACCTTAGGCTGCTTGGGTATGTCGATAGGTGATTGGATCTCAAACTAAAGAACTACATCCTTCCCGAATTGATTTCCCCAGTCCTACCTCTTGTACTAAACTTCGTCAATTCATTCTCCCTTAACTTATTCCTCCACAACAAATTTATTGAACAGTTTTATTGGTGCCACAAGTCAGAAATGAACCAGCGATTTTTAGATTATGAGATTGATTGTACGGCACTGATCACTTCGATTTAAATTGCCGGAGCTGCCATAGTGAGATATATTATCTTGTATATTATCTGTCTGTCAGTGTGTGATATTGATGACAAAAATGATAGACTTGTTCTTTTAACCGGTTCGTAAGCCATAAATCATTTTCTCAGTAAGATAATCAACAGCCCATCCCAAAACAAATAGAGCATTTTTGCAATTGTTGGGTTTTCGTTGTGGGGAATGAGGAATAAGATGGGGAAGAGGTTGGGAAATGGTTCCATCACCACTGGGCACGCTCGATTGTTCATGGATTGATGCCAGCTGAAATGGCTTTGTTGGCATAATCACATCGTCTTTGAACCATTCTAAACTTAATCATTCTCGCGGTGCTGCACCCTTGGGAATTGTACTTGTACTGTGCAACTAGTTGATTACTTTTTGCCTCAACTTGTCAAAGGAGATATTTATGAACCCGTCGCATCCCTACTTTAATCTAATATTGTGGATTTTCCTTGAAATGACTGGACTTTTTATATTGTTTTTATCTGAAGTGCTGCTGGTTACAACCATTAGAATCATTAGAAGTATGCTATCAGAATGTTATGAAGGTTTATATCAAATTTTTTTACACAACTTGGATTTTCATAAGTACCATGTGCTCGTTTTAAAATTGAATTAACATAATCTAATGATCTGAAATTATTAAAAACGTATTTGCAGAATAAACTTGTGAGCATAACTTCTTCATTCGAATTATTAAATACTGGAACAATTCCAGGAGATATAATCTGCCCATCTTCATAGGATACTTTTAGAAGAAAACTAGACAATATTTCCATTTTTCTATGAAATATTTCTTATGTTTCTTTTTTTTTCTTTGAAATCCCATAATATTTCCATTCTATTCCTATTGTACTGTTGGCTTTGGCCATGTTTTTTTTTTGTTTTATATCGGTATTATTATTTCTTTTTCAATTTGCATTTATGTTATTATTAATGCAAACATGACGTTGCTTGGGTTTTTTCAAGTAAACAGATCATATACCTATCTTTTCTTGTGTTGTACTTAAATACGACTTATAAATTATCACGGCTCCGATTCTTAACCAATGACAAGGGTAAATTTGTTTGTAAAAATGAATCTCGACTTTCGATCTTATTTTATTCCTAATACTACCAGCTAGTCGATCTTACTAGATGTAATGAGTTCTACTAGGTAAAGATGGATAAAAATCTACATGTTTTTAGTTTCAAGAAGGAAAGAAGAAAGAAAAAAATCATAGTGTAAAATTCTTTCCGTATTTTTTTTCGTACGAATAAAAAATCCGGATAGAATTTTTAATTCATTAAAAAGACATGGTAAACCAAACAAAAGACTAATGCACAGATAAGTCTGAATGACTTCTAGATTTGGTAAGCTAGGATCTAAACCAGCAATCGTGTCGATTATGACGATATTCCGATAAATAATAGAATTTCAAGCAGAGGAATAAAACGAGTACTAGGGAATAAAACTAATATTATTTTAAAAAAAAGGTATTTGCAATGAGAAATTATCGTTCTCTCATATGGGTTATAAGACTAGAAGACATGTTCAACTACAATTTTTTCGATTTTTACTCTTGGGATTTTAGGAGATTAAAAGGAGATACTGTGTTGTGCAATTCGCAATTATTCCATATCCCACATTTACAGAGATTATAATGGGATTCAATGGAATATGGAAGGAATAAAATGGGAGCTTGTGTAAACCAAAAAAAATCGCAATTCTATAATGATTTGTTGAAATGGAGGATTTCAGAGAACTCAAGTCCATTTAAATCTCTGTTATAGCTACAATGTCCTAAACCGAAGTCATTTCCTCGTTACAAACAAAAATAAGTTTTGTTTGGATGAAAATTTTCCTCTCCTACAATCACAAAAATTTAATCCTTTAATGTTCAGGGCAATGGCATTAAACGACAATTATTTTATTTTATATTCACAAAAAATTTTTCAGTGCTATCTTCATTTTAAAAATTATTGAAAATAAGAGGAAGACAAAAAGGAATTAAGAGAAAGGAAACAATGTAGTTGGTGAGGTCAGATATGTTGCGCTTTTCCTTTTTTTCCCTTCTCGCTATAATAAAGAAATGAGTAGAAAAAAACAATAACAAAGATCCTCGCTATTTGTGGAATATATATGTGCAAATAGAAAATAGATATTACTTATTAAGCCTAAACATTTAAAAAGTAATGTATCAAATTTGAGAATAGTAACCCCTATTCGATAGAATCCATAAACCCTGGCTTAAATTTCTCGAATTCATTGCAGTGACGCTAAGACAGAAGGCAATTTTTTATAAAATGCCTGAAATTTTATGAAATTTTATATGATCCTATATATAAATTCAATTGTTGTTTAAATTAGAAATAAGAAAGTAAAAATAAAATTATTCTAATGAACCAAGTCATTGCAAAGCCTAATTTATAGTTTCTAGCAGTCTTATGAACCATCAATTATAATCATAATTAATTGTATTATAATTATAAAGGATAATATGTGGAATAATATTTTAAAATTACCGAACATAAATGAACTGCGTGATAAATGCTTGAAGTACATGTCATTTCTCGAATAGAATGCATGGCTAATTGTGCACAACCAACATCGATAGACTGAATTCCTAATTTGGAGGAAAGTATTGGGCCAATCGTCGAACCACAAGGCATATCATTTCGTACTACATAATTCTTAAAAATAAAATTTATTTCTTCAAAATCTTATAATATTCTTTGCATATTTTTTCGTGGAATTCAACGAAAAAATAATAGCAATTCAGTTAAAAAATGAAAAAGGCGAACCTGCAACGGGATGTTAGCGCTACGAGATATTTTTTTCAAGATTGCAAAAGTGGTGGGAGTCGTCGAATACCGCTGGTCATGATTCACTTTCACAACGACACCTTCATGAAATGCAGGTCTATGTTTATCCTGAATTACAGATTTTCTAACAGAAACAAATGCCTTCACAAAAAAAAAAATAAAATATGTAGTCTATATGATACTTCGTGTTTATCACCATAATTAGGGTGGGAACAGTGTGCTTGATCGAAACTCATTATCATCGATTTAGCAATAGATTCCTCGAAAGCAACTGGAGATCCACCAGCTGCTAACCTTCGCAACACCCACTCAGTAAACTGTCCACCGGCTCCTTGCGCTGATCTGCTTCCACACTTAAATCTATTATTATTATCGTTTATTATTATATTCTAACAAGAAGAAAATAAATTTAATGAATGGGATTTAATAGGATGCACGAAATTTATGTTTCGTACAATTTTTTATGCGTTTTACCGTTATATATTTTAATTACCCACAATTTCTACCTCTAATAGCTATTAAGGCGCCTTGCCAGAGATTCACCTGAAGAAAAAAGTACAGATGAATCAGCAGCATCACCGAATTTTCCTTGGAAAATTAATTCTAAAAACCAAAAAAATTCCCTCCCCATGAAACGAAAAATGAACGAACTGTTGTATAAATATGTACCTCTTCATTATCGAAACATGCAGCAATGCGAATATTTTCATCATTAACCAATGAATCTATACTCATAAGTAAACCAGAAATGCAAGCATAAGTTCCAACTAAATTGTCAAGACGTTGGCCACTTATAAATTCATTATAAATGCCACCAATAACCTAAAAGTACTTATTTGTGCGAATTACTTTTGCATAAATCTCACATTTTTATATTTTTCGATGACACTAACCGCTGGCTGATGATCATAAAGATAAAGATCTAAATCAATAATCTCTTCAATCTTACAACCAATTTCATCCGCAATCAATTTAAGAAGCGAAATATGATGATCGTTCGTTGTATATCCCCAGTCAATTGCTTGATCGTAATTATAAACCTAAAAAAACAATACTGAGAAAATTTTTTTGACCATTGTCAATATATACAAAATTTCAACAACAAGATAAAGGGCAAAAAAAATTTCCATCAATGTTAAATTATTGAAAAATTCCAGAAAATTGTAAAATCGAAAATTCTGACATTCTTATTAATATTCTCAGCGATCATAGTAGCGAGTATTGGTCGCAAATTTGTTTCTACATTTGGTTCAAATTTATTTCTATCTGATCCAGTTGAAAAATGTATAGCAAGACTGGGAATATATAAGATTGGCTTTGATATATTGACTAATTCACGTATAATGCGATCATCCTGCAATAATGATTTCAATTATTCTAAAATCAATTCCGAACAAAAAGCTTGGATTTCCAAAGGAATGAAATCTAAAAATAAAATTTGAAATGTAAAATAGAAATTTGTGAAATGATCACTGAAACGATTAGGGCAGGATATCTCTTAAGATTTTCAAGAATTCTCAGGGTAAAGAAAATTCTTTGGGATTTGACATGATGTGTCCTCAATCTTCCCGGATATAACTAAAAAGCTTTTCGAATCATGTGGCTATGAGCTGTCAACAGAGTAATCTTTTTATTGGAAAGAGCTACTTGTTTTAGATAAGAGAACTCATATCATATGAACGAAGAAGAGTATGGTAACTATCGAAAAATCAGTTTACTGTTCTCTGAGATTTTTGAACCCCTTCTGCTGAATGGCAAGATATGCCATATTCAAGATGTAAAGCCACGAATGATCAATTATTAATACGCTTTACTGAAATTGATGAAAATGCAAGAAGAATATCTAATCTAGAATAAGAATATTTGTCTAAATATCGATCTTTAATTGTTTCTACCTCATATGATTGGGGAGGATGGGTCAATGTATTGCTCAATTTGGAGCACCGATACTGAGGTTCTATTCCCCGCAGGAGTAAACCCGTCCAAAAATCCAGGTGATGGCTCACTGTACTTCTATCCTCAGCATTTTGACTCCTTGGATTGTTTGTCCAGTGCGACAACCGGCGGAGCGAGTAATGGTGAGGACTCTTTAAAAAAAAATAAAAATTTAATAATAATCTAATAATTGCCAAAATGTCGACCTTTAATTTTTATCTCATAAAATTAATCATCTAAAATTAATCATCATTAATCGTCAGAACATCCTCTCCTAAATTACTATAGAGCCTATGGTATGCCATGCCCCTTGCAAGAAGTTACCAGAGGAATGGAGATTAATGCTTGGCTTCGTAATGGCGTTCAAAACGTGAAGACCTAATAAAGACTTGGATGGATAATGCAAGGAAAAATTTGAAATATGTAGATGGCCCAAGCGCTAAGTTGGTGAAAGGAATGAAATCTTTATTCTAAATCCACATTTAACTTGTAGAGATTTGAAGATTTTGCCTTTGTGGCCAGCACAGTCAGCCTAGCAAGTAATGGTGAGCGCTGTTAAAAGAAAAACAATAAAAAGAAAATCATATGAAAATCATATTTTTATTCATTAAAATTTAAATAGCCCTATTAGCTAATGACTTAATGCTATTAAAATTTTTCAACCTTTTCTCTGATAACTAGACCAGCTACGCTGAGATCGCGATCAAACCATGTGCGCCATAATCCTCCACCATACGTTGAAACACCAATCTGCAGCACTTACGAAAAAGATTCTTAAAAGATCCATAAATTTAAAAAAAATCTAAATTGTTATATGAAATTGCTTTTTAAACATAAAACAAAATACAAATGAAAAATAAGAATAAAATAAAAAAACTAAAATAAAAAACTAAAAACTAACTTGTAAGAATTTATCGTTCTGCAATTTTGAAGTAGGTTTCAAGCGCAATGATGGACTATCAGTATGTGCAGCAGTAACTGAATAACCATTGCCAGGGCGATATTTTCCTCCAACGGCGAATGCCAATATTGTACTACTGTTCCTGGAAATATTAAAAAAAATAAGTATACAAATATGCAAAGTATATAAATAGAAATAAATAAATATAAAAATAGAGGGAAAAAAGCCTAAATTTCTAAAAATTATAAAGAAAAAAGCTTATCGTACAATACTGAAGAGCATTACATTATATTAAAAATTTTTTCTAAATATTCGAGCAATCCAGCAACACACGGACTGGAAATTCCGTAATTTTTAAATACGGCACTGGAACCAATGGTTTCAAAACGCCTTATTCTTTAAACAAGCTTACCTAATCAGCAATAATTATTAAAAAAAGAAATGAATTATATTAAATTATATTAATGTAATATAAAATAATATAAAATATAAAATAAAAATATAAAATAATAAATAACAATAAAAATACTAATACTCCTACTTAGTGACGAAATATTTCTTCAAAGGTTCGATAGTCCAAACGTCAGATTCACTTAGTTCTTGAAAATTTGCGTTTTTTAGGTATTTTTTACATTCATTGACAGCTTAAAAAAGATTTTATATTGTTTTTTAATATAATTAGAATTTTTAAAATTGAATCTATAAATTTAAAAAAAAAATGAAACGAAAAGAATCGAACTAAAAATTATCAAAAAAAATTCAACTATAAAATTTATCATTTTATAAAAAAAAGAGCATAAATTTATGAATAAAATTGTTATAAAACTATTATGAAACTTAAAAAAAAAAAGAAACAACCATGGAACGGAGTGACAGATCGATTTAGAAAATCAACGAAATCCTTCGCTACTTTTAAAATATTTGTTTTATTGATAATTGCAGTTGACATATCTTCACAATCCATTTGTTCCATTAAATTCAACCAAAAATTTTTTTCTTTCTACAATAAATTATTTCTTCTAAATTTCAAAAATAAACAAAAAAAAATATTAAAAAATGCAAATGCGAAAAACGATTTAATTATTAAAATAAATAAATAGAATAGGCGAAAACGTTAGAATACGCAAAAACGTAAAAAAAACATGAAGAAATTTATCAATATTAATAGGCAAATAGGGGCGGAAGGGGGGGGGAGAAGGGATGGGGGGAAGGGGAGGAATTTTTCCAAAAAATGCCAAAATTTGTAAAATTGATAAAACAATTGTGCTAAGAGACAAGAGAAAAGATTTTAGGATGCCTTTCTGAAATTCACTTTATATCACTTATGATTTTATATTTTCTTATCATTCCTCCATCTTATCTAATCACCTAAACACCTGATTTCTTAATTTTCATTTTCAATTTTCATTTACAAAAATGATTTCCTGGCAATTTCTGAAAATTTCTGACCGTATAAATAAAAATAACTGAAAGTACTGGCCACTTGGTAAATTAAGAGAAGTTTCATGACTTCAGTAATCACCCACCACCTCTCCCCTCCCCTCCCCCCTTCCCCCCCCCCCCCAACCCTTCCCTTTTTTTTGAGAATTGCAAGATAATGAATTACGCCCTGTTGGATTCTGCGATAATTGCAACGAATTTAAAATCTTAGCCGAGAGATTCAAATCTAAAATGCAGCTCTTCCAGAAATAAGAAATGAGGATCTATCTAAAACGCAGATCGGTCGTCTTCAACTTTTTTTTTAAGAAGCGAGTTGATTGTTGCATGTTTTACGCTGAAGGTTTTTTCTTATTTTTTATTATTTTTTATTTTCTTATTTTTTTATTTATTTTAAATATTTTTTAATTTTTTCACAATTCTTGCATAATTAATTTTACGTGATTCCTTACGTGATTTTCACGTAATTACGTAATTTTTGCATAATAAATGTTGATTTCGCACTTTAAAAACGATATTTATTCTTTTGTATTTAAAATCGAAATAACTAAAGAATTCAATTTAAATATTTTTTGGTAAAAAAAAAATTAGGAATCTAGGAATTAATTGAAATTAGCGGCGATGCCAATTGTTACGATTGCTACGAATTTACCTGAAAATCATTTTATGGAAGATTTTAATGTACAATTCACGAGAGCGTTATCGGAAATAATCGGCAAACCCGTTGACCGAATAAGCGTACAACTTACGACAAATGCTCGTCTCACGCACGCTGGAACAAATCAGCCAACTTGTACAATTGTTGTTAGTCTTTATTCGTTTTTATTCAAAATTTTAAAATTTTTTTTTATTTAGTAATAACTATTCGTTTAAGTGGGCAGCGAGTGAATAAGCGATTTCCCATTTTAGTTTGTCGTATTTTTTATCTATCAATAGCCATTCCGTTTGCTTTTGGTTTGTTTTGGTTTTAATTTGTTTTGTTCGTTGCAGTAATCTTTATGACGATTATTATTGCCAGCGTAATCAAAATGAACTCATTTCGTATCGAAAATCTTTTCATATTTATTCTGTGAAATCAGTTAAATAAAATTTCGAAAAACTCTAAAATAACAATTGGACATTTTCATTTTTTATTCAAAAATTGTATTCTTCCGTTTTTGAAAAAATTTAATCAGATCATTTCAGAAAATATTTCAGATCAAAGCGATTAAAGCATTCGACAGAGATCGAAACGTGAAATATTCATCAAGTATTGCGAAATTTATGCAGGACACGGTTGGTATCTTACCCGAGAAATGTCTTATACATTTTATGAACGTAGATTTGGACGATATCTCAGTAAATGGAACGACGATGAGAATTTTGATGAACCAGTAGGCCTCTCTATAGACTTTAAACCAGTTCCTAGCCTTAGTTTTTAGCCTAAATATGCCTTGCTGAAACCTTGAAAATCTAAAAATTCCAAGACATCCATGATGAATAAAAGAATCGCGTCCTTAATTTCGTTAATCCAACCAGTAACTGATATTTATTTATTTCAGTGACTTCAGGTAGCCACAGAAGTACACTTAGTGCTTTGTTACCAGTTGAAAATCAGGGTTGATTTTATTACCTATATTTCCATTATATTTCCTGCTTCATTTTATATTTAAGCATTAAAATATTTTGAAGGGAGCACCATACGCCTTATCATACTCTCAGAGAGATTCAAGGGAAAAAATGTTAAAGGCTGCTACTTTTGTAGTTTTCAAATAATTACTGTTTTTCTTTTGTTTTTATCATTTTTTCGTTAGGTATCCAATTTGTCATTTGATTTTCATTTATTAAGTTATAAGTTTAATTTTTTTTCTAAGTATTATCTTTTATTTGATTTGATTTTTCAAAGCATTACCTTTTATTAAATTTAATTTCAGGCTTACTTATATTTTCTTGAAGTAAAAAAATAAAAAAAATGTACAAGATATGTACACATGAATATCAAGATTTAATATTTACAGAATCAATCAAGAAATTTTGATATTTGGTACAAATTATTTAAAAAATTTGCACCGTAAAATTTGCATTACAAAAAATTTTAAAAAAAGAAGTCTTGGAAGCAAAATGAGGTAACAATATTTTAGCCACTTTTAACTACCATCTTATTAATTAAAAATATTTCCAATTTTCTAATTTTTCTAATTTTTGCTTTCTAATTTTTTGAACAAAAATACTAAAAATCTTGGAAATTCGTATATTACAAATATTTCTTAAATTGATTTTCAAATTTAATAAGAAGTGATGAATTTCTTCATGACGAATAGAAATAGAATAAAATGACACAAGGATATTGGCAAACAGGCAGAATATGCTAGGAATAACCTCAAAGAGGGAAAACAAAACAAAGAGATAACGCATAATTAAAACCGGAGTTTGGTTTAACAATTCTTGACAATTATGAAGAAAAAACTGCGAAACATCAAGCGTCGAAGAGTGGCTCCGCAAGCACAACCTAATTTATCAGCTGAGTTTAAGGTCACACAATATTATATTTTAATTTCTTTTCATTTAACACCTTATTTGTTGTTATTGGTGTTATTAATGCAACCATATTGGGCTTGTCAGGCTTGTTTGGTTGTTTTCAAATGAATAAAGTAATGAACATAATGACTGAACAGTAATGTAGACAATGCACTAAATATTTATTTTTTGAGGTGAAATGCGAGGCCGATTATGCGGTGTTAAAATTACACCCCATTCGCGCATTAAGTGCATCATAAGAACTGTAATCATAGTTGTGTTCGTAGTTGCTTTTGATACTGAGCAAATATGACGCCAATCAATTAGTTCGAGACGGATTGCTTGTTTTGATTCAGCATGGTAAAAAAGGCTAAAATTTCAAAAATTCAAAAATTCGAAAAGAGAACTCTTAGGATATAGTCCAGTTTTTCACCTTATATATCTGAACAGGGCTTCGCAATACAATTTTTTTTAGAGCACTCATCGTCGTTCCGTTGGCTTCTTAGACAAGAAAAATAATTTCTTAGTGATAAAAATATAGGTGGATCGCCAGCATCGCGCTATTATATGTAATTTTTCATTATCTTTTATATATTACGTAAATGTGAGAGAATATTTGAAATTTGAAAGCAAAAACCTTTTTTTTGTAGAATCCCAACATTTGACCAACGCTTCCATTTCCTGATTCAAACGACAACATCTTTCATCGACAGAACTATCGGGCGCCTAAGAAATTCGTCACTTTCAAAACTGAATACAATACCTATTCAATTCAAAGATTCATTTTCAGGAGATTAATTTATTCAAAAAACGCATTGTTACGAGAAAGCAGAAAAATCTTAGTAAATTATTTAGAAAAACTTACTTTAGGGATGTTTATTAGAATAATATTTGGGACCTCGATATAACAAAAACGATTAAATCTTTCAGTACATTGGGAATTGTCTTTTTTATGGACGTTTATTTCACGAAATTCCCGTTTCAGTCGTTCAAATTGCTCGACAAACAATTCGAATAATTTTTTCTGGAAATAAATTTTAACTGTTTTATCAAAATAACCATCAATTTTTATGCCAAAATCTAGTGTGACTTATAACCAAAGGGACAAATGAAAATTAAAATTATAAAAGAATTAGAAAAAAAGGAAGAAAAGAAAAAAATGAAAATATTAAAAAAAGATTGTATATTACACAATGAGTTTATTAGAATTGATTATAATTTGGAACTGTAGCAAATATTAGGGTGGATAGCGTTAAAGAATCATAACCGGGTCTAATGAGGTCAAAGTGATAGAAGCGAATTGTTCGTGAAGGCAAAAAAATACGGCGAAGTCTACTTCGAGGAAGGAATTTGACGGTTTTTGAGAGTTTTTTTCGAAAAATGGTCCTTAAAATATAAAAGGACTTCAGTATGATGAGTCGTGATGGTATTTACAAGTTTTTAAAGAATATTAGCGAATTATTACAGGAATTCAGGCAAAAGTTTTGGCATTTGGTGGATAAAAGCGTGGTACAATTATAGTTATCAGTAGAATTAAGACACTTCACGCAACAACTAATACTTTTCAAACTTCGATTTCGATTAGTGCATGGCATCATGGGATGCTTAAGAGAATCAACGAGGACAACAGACTGAGGAATTTATCAAGGGATTATAGCAATATCTAAGGAATTATCTAAAATGAATTGAGGAAATGGGGCATAAATTTTAAAATAGATTAGAATAGATTCTGAGATATAAAGACGATGGCGAAGTAACGATAGATATATAGCGATGTTTGAAAGGTAACTATATTGAGTTTAAGAGTATTTACACATAGATTAAGATAAGGGTAAACTTGAAGATAAAGTAAATGTTAAGGAATAATGATGCAATTTTGAGCTCTTATTTAATATGTAATGTATATGGCATTCACAAAGCAGCTTTTGGATAAAACAAAGGAATTTTTTCCCAAACATAAAACACAAAGATGAAGCCAATTGTTGAAGAGGCGAAAATATCCATCACGCTTAAGAAATTGACTTGACACGCTTTAGTATACTGCATCTCACGAATCGTTATCTTAATGTTCTCTTAACAGCCCTTCTAATAATTTGTTTCCTTCCTGCCAAATCCCTATAATTCTTTCACCACTATGCTTCTTCCCATATTATCGACAAATACCATGCTATTTTTTGCAAATTTGAAATTTTTAAGTGAAGCCAAAGCAAATGACGAAATATAAAGGAGAGAAAATGAAGTGGATAGGTGGTACCATGTTGAGTTTAAGACAGTTATAATGGTGGAAAAAGATCTAAAATAAGAGACTGTGGTAAACCCGTACCTTGAGTATTGAAAATGTTACGATAAGTTTTCAAAAGGTATTAAAAGGTTTTAACAAGGGGAGCTGAGATTCTGCGATATACCGAGTTTTTATAAAATGAGCTACAGCATAGTAGTATATTACAGATCCATAATCCAATGTCAGAAGTTAAACATGTGTCACTACCAGATTTTAAAAAAATAATGACTCTAACATGGTATAAAAGAGAATTCAGGAAATCTCAAGACTGAAAAAAATTGAAAATTGAGAATGAAAAAAATTCTGAGGACCTCGTCAAGGAGCTATAATTGAGTTGTCTAATGAGATAATATTTAAGATAAAACGAACGGCAAAATTATAAATAAATGTTGTAAACACAGTAGGTCCGGGACATTCTGTTGGAATAGCAGACCAGTCGTGTCCAACAGCAATAAAAACGTAAAGACCAGCTACTTGAATTTTAACTTGAATAAGAGCATCATAGAACAGCCTGAAAGAAGGTAAGAGGATAAGAAAATGATAAATAGCTAAAATGCTTTAAATAATAATAAATTTTATATTGTAAAAGATGTGTGAGAATTCCTATATGACGAAGAAAGAACATTTAAATAAAAATTATAAAATATGAAAAAGTTGCCAACTTAAAATTAATTGGAGGAAATGCCGCTCTTGTAAGGACGGTTCCGGGACATGAACTCGCCTCATTCTTTAATTTAAAAACATTTTCATTCAAGAGATCAAAGATCGAATCAACTATAATCCTGAAAATACGATTTAATTCAAACTTAACAAATTTAAAACTGAATATTATTGAAGGTAAAATTATTTAACATAGTAAACTCATGGTTAAAGCTTAAAAAGAACCAATTTCGCGTAGTTTTCTGGATTGACTCTCCTTTAAGCTGACAACTTTGGAAGAATTCTCGTTTTTGTTCAGTTTCAGTAATCGAACGAGGAAAATCGCGCTACAATATATTAATAATAATAAACCAATGTGAACCAAAATGAACCAATAATTTCTGACGTGTATTTGTAACAATTTTATAAAAATTTTAAATTTAACAATTTTAAATTTTATATGATTGGTACCAACAAATATAATATTATCATTATCGAAATCGAGTTTTTAAAAAAAATTTAAAAAGATTAAATCAAACAAAAGATAGAAATTCTTCGGCTAGAACAATTGAAACTTTTTTCTAATTGTATGATTCTTTAAATGACACAAATTTAACGGCTCATATTCTAATATTAGCTAAAAATAGTAAAATACCAAATCAAATTAAATGACCAAACTTAACTTATTTTAAATTAATTTGTGAAACTTAACGCTCGCTAATTTATCAAGTTAGAAATATTTTTTTAACAATTCTTGCTTCTCGGCATAATCAATCACTTTTGCTCTTTGCTCAGATTTTATTACCGACAATAGATCTCTCACGAAAAGGTTTCAACTTAGCAGTGAATGCACCTAGCTGAATAAAATTTATATGAATTTATAATTGGGTATGCAACGACCATAAAAAATAAAACTTAGTGATAAAGTATCTCACAAAACAACTGAATTAAAGAAGAATAATAAGAATTAGGAACTTCACTCAAAAATTCCACTTCTCTTAATCACCTTCAGTCGCCGTTACGATTTCTTCACCACCTCAAAAAACCATGATAATGTTTTTTGCGACTTGATACTATTTGTTTCAAAAACAGAGTAAAATATAATATATGTATATATTGTGCGCTTGGATATGTACCTATCGTGTATTTGAATATGGATTTTGTAGACTATAAAACAGAAAAGACAATGTTTTCAGCTCGGAGTTTTACAACTACAGGAAATGTATTTTATGGTTCACCCTTTTGAAATGTAAACATTAACGGGGCCATGCGATAATATCAAAGTAAAGATTATTCATCTTAGTCCGCATGCTTTGGGATTCAGGCTTAGACATAAAATTTCGCTGCTGGTATATAACTTAGGACTTTGGAATTTACTTAGACTTAAACTTACTTATTAATACCTAATTTAGACTTAGGCCTAATGCGATAAACCGTCTGTTCTAAAAATTTTATACGATATTTTAGAATGAAGAATTTAAAAATTAGTTATATTCAAATTTTTCCACAGCAATCCATTTTCTCTTAATTCCTAATATTGCATTTACTATTTTTATAGAAACAATTATCAGTGAAAACTTACTTATCTTACGACTACCAAATGGTTTTCTTTCACCTAATTTAATAAGATCCGAATCGCCTCACTAAGTAAAATATAAAACACAATTAATCGAATAAACTTCATTTATAAACTTTCGTCCAGTAAATTCTAATTTACGATGAGCGATCTTAAAAATTTCCAAAAAAACTTTTGATGAACAATAGAAATGCTTACAAACAGTTCGTATTCGCGCGGAGGGAGATCATCAGTATCTCGCTTAAATGCGACATTTGTAGCTTTCTAAAAGAAAGAAAAAAGAATATTGAAATAAAATAAATAAAATATCCATAAATAATCTGGTATATTTTTGCTTAAAACGCATCTAAATACAATAATCTGAAAGAATATTTATATTTTATCTAAAAATTTAAAAGACTAACCTGAGGCCAATTTTTTCGACGGGGATATCGTAATCGATACACCTTATAATCGATTAGATTCTGGAAAATGAGTAATTTAAATATTGCGTAATCATTGCATTTTTGCCCTCGCTCATATAACTTAATATAGCCCGATGCGGGGCTCGAACGCGCGACAGCCAGATTAAGAGTCTAGTGCTCTACCGGCTGATCTACAGTGAATTCCAGAAAAAGAAGGTAATGCTCATTTCTGGGCAAAAGCGACTGCGCTCAAGGGGAATCGAACCCTCAATTGGGAGCACCGATGCTGAGGTTTGATTCTCCGCAGAAGTAAGCCTATAGAAAAATCCGGATGATGCTGACGACTCACTTGGATTCCTATCACAGTGGGACTCCCATATATATATATATATATATATATATATATATATACGATGGAATTTAATTTCAGAACAAATTTTTGAAATGTTAAGCTGCTGATAATTTAGAGATAACAATATGGAATAACCACGTTATCAATGAAAAAAGTTTGATCATGACAATTTTATAAATTATTTTTTTTATTATTTCATTCATTCATACTTTTGTTTTCTGCAAATTTTGTCGATTTCAGTATTAATATATATAAATATATAAAAAATGTTTTACTTTTATTGTTGTCGGCTTATTTTCAAATATTTCAGCATACGAATTTTCTTCTTCAGAACATATACGAAATATTCTACAAATAAAATGAAGTGATTTTTGAGTGCAAAAAAAAAACCTTGGTGCCAATCACGAAGATTTTAAATTATTAAAGTTTTAACAAATATTTAACAAACCTACTTAAATTAGAAATATTTAATTAGATAATGCGATTGAATCATTCTTGGAATTTGGCTTTTTTTTCTTAATTTCGGAAAATCCTACTTCAAACGATCAAATTAAAATTTGAAAATTTGATACGATATTAAAATTTTAAGATATTACACCACAATAATCTTCCAAAAATTTTTATCACATGTAAGTATATGGTGAGAATTAAGCATTTAATTTATATATATAAAGACTAACTTTTTAGGTGGATTTGCTCCAATTTCGTTTGAATTGGACAACACTGAGTTTCTTCCTATTTCATTTGAATTAGATGACTGTCTCCTTATTTTAGCGATGCTATTTTGATCGCTATTTCTACTGGAATTTTTGTAAAATAAAATCTAATAAATTACAATTTCCATTTATAGGACAACTAGTCTACTTACCACCGGCTAGATCCATCTTTTTTTTATATTTTCTTCTCTTCTTTACCATTTTTACAATTTCTATGAAAAAATAGGTGCAAAAATAATAGAACCTACGTCGCATTAATTAATAACTTTTTATATATATATTTATATGTTCTTATATATTTATATACTTTTTATATATTTTTATACATATTTATATATTCTTCTTCTAACAGCTCTCATCATTATTGGTTAGGCTGGCCCCTAGCTATAAGGGTAAAACGCCTCCAAGTTGCTCGTCCAACGCCATCGCTAGTAGAACCCACCCATTCCTTTTCCTATCGTCTAAGTCCATATGTCCCTGGATCCCCTACACGTTCAAAATTTTTCCTGATTCATATAAATTTAAAAGTCCTTTCCTTACCTCCTGTAAAGTTATCCTCAACCTTAGGCCTTCTACCAAAGGCTTAGGAGTTTGAGGATTCTAAGCGGTACCTTATTTGTTATTGGCAGTCTTTGATCTCTGATGCTATCAAAGATCGAGGTGGTAGACGAAATATTTAGCTATATTTCACGTTGCGAAATTTATTATATACTCTAAATATAACGAGTATAGAAGCTTTGTGATCGTTAAGTATTGGGGTATTTGAATTTCGAAATTGCTTCAGCAATAATTTCAAAATATCTTACGAAATACCTCGAAAATCGAGGTGGTAGACGAAATACTAATGGAGTTTAAGGCTCCCTAGTGCTCTTATGTTAATGGAATCGAAGGCTGGCAAAATTGATGGAAAACGTGACGGTAAATGATGGATTGCAAAATTTGAAGCGATGTCTTAATATTGGGACTAGTTTGGCTTTGGCCTTCATTTTAAACATCTCTAGTTTCCCATATTTTTTCCCAAAATTTCTGTCATTTGGTTGTGTTTGGACGAAGAAATCCCACAAGATTTCCATAAAAATTCTCAACATTTTCTACTGTATTTAAATAAAAAATGGCCGAAAAAATAAATATCGTGAAAAAAGATGGAGCACGGTATTTGGAAGGAAAATAAACGAAAAGAACATTGAATGCGACAGAAAAAAATAAAAAACAAACGTCGACAATTCTGATTGACATTGGAATGTCTGAGACGAAACGAAAAGGGAAGAAACCTGAGCCGGTGCCTGTATCTGAGTTGGCACCCGTATCTGGGCTGGTATCTGTGTCTGAGCTGGCACCTGTATATGAGCTGGCATCTGCACCTGAGCCTGTGTCTGCATCCGAGTCTGTACCTGAGATGGTGCCTGTATTTGAGATGATGCCTGTATTTGGGATGGTGCCTGCATCTGAGCTGGTACCTGCATCTGAGCCGCTGCTTTTATCCGAACCGAGGCCTGCATCTGAAACCCAGTCGATGTCTGAGCCTGAGCCGAAGTCAGCGGCTGAGATGTTTGCACCTGAGGCGACTTCTGCGCCTGAGTTGCTATTTGCAACTGAACCGGTCTTTGCGCTTGAGTGTGAACCAGCATTTGTACCTGTGTCTGCGGTTGTATCTGTGTCGGTACCTGCGGCTGTACTTGGGCCTGCGCCTGTATCTGTAACAATTTTATGTTTCGGAATTACATACACCAATCTATTTAACTATTTGATTTATTCATCACAGTTAGTCAGCTTTGTTCCATTATATTTCTTCCATTACTCTGTTTCAACTAATTTTCAAGAAAAAAAAGGCATTTTAAAAAAAATTATTTGATACTTCATCTCCTGGATGACTTCAGATTCTAGAATTTATTAACCTACGTGGATTCACTTCCTCCTTTCCTTTTTATTCATACTTAAAAAGATAAGGAATATTTGCTGCGCGAGTGAAGCAGTTATGACAATTCTTTCTCAGCGAAAAATTTTAACGTACATAGTCACGTACAGTCACTGGATTTTGTTGCCCTGTAGCCATTACTGTAGGATCTTGAGATGCACTTGTCGTTGCATATCCTTGAAATAATCCCAAGAATTGACACCTTTGCTGTTGAGGAATCGGATACGCCTGCTGAGGAATGGGATGCTGTTGATGAGGAATGGGATGCTGTTGATGAGGAATGGGATGCTGTTGTTGAGGAATCGAATGCTGCTGCTTCTGAGAGATGGGATATTGTTGCTGCTGTTGAGGAATCGAATATTGATGCTGATAAATCGGAAATTGCTGGTGCTGTTGAGGAAGCGGATAATGCTGTTGCTGTTGAGGAAGCGGACACTGCTGCCCCATTTGAAATACGAAAACTCCTTGTTGAGAGGAATTTTGCGACTGAGGCATTACAAATCGTAACCGTGGTTGAAAATTCCGTGGTTGAGATGGCATCACTATTTGATTTTCTTGGACCATTAAAGAGTTCTGTTGCGGTTCAGGAATAAAATAAGAAAGATTAACGCCAGCTTTTCGGGATCGCTGAAAAACTGCCAAAAATTATGAACACCATTAACTGGGAAACACGACGATCAATAAATAGATTAAAATATTCTTCAATCGCATTCTTTTTTTACAATTTCCAATAATTTTAATATTTTTTTATCCTCATAAAAAAAATATATTTTTCTTAAATTCAAATTCAGCAATAAAACTATGCATAAAAATTCTCCATTCTCCACTTACTTCATAAGCCAAATCAATATCATCCGCTTCTAGCAAATCTTCTGCTCGGACTGGGCCTAAATTTTTCACTAAGCCATTCCCGCATTCATTTGCAACTGAAATTCATAGAAATTATTGATAAAATACAATTAAATATAGTTAATTTGTCACCTGAATATAGCATTATTAACCAATTGTTAATTTCACTTGCACAATTTATTTAATCAAACTTTAATTTAATATGCCAAAATCTTAATAATCCATAGCAATATTGCAGTGCTGTGGGAAAAAATCTAAAACCTCAATAACTTCAAAATACGAAATTTCTGAATTTCTTAAATCTCTTTATAACCTCAAAGCCATTCCCTAACACTTCCAAATCTTCTTTATTTCTTTTAAACCAGCACAGTACCTCAATTACATAACCAAATACTAAAGTTGCCTAACAAACACGCAGAACCGGCCGTTGAGCTTCCTTTAGTTTCCTTAGACTGCTTAACAATTTTCCCATTAGATATATCCACTAAACCTCGACATCCCCACTGACCTAACTGTACATTTGCAACAAAGGATTATCAATAATCTTTACATCAACATTGATTCTCGCAGCTTAACCTGCCATATTTGTAAAAGATCGCAAAATATTTTTTCCAAAAAGCTCTCATATTTTTTTTTCTGTAACTCTTTATTCTTTACTGCTAACATGGACTTCTCCTACTCTATGTTTTCTTTCTTAAAGTTACAGTTCCTAAGCATTCTAAACCTTTCCTTTTATTCTAATCGCTCAAACTGTTATTATTTAGACCTGTTCCGCTAGCAGCAAGGGCAAGACATGTTAAGCTATTTCCTCCGACGCCACCATTGACAATAATAGAATAAAAGAAACCATTCTTTTTCCCATCTAAATATATAAATCGCTGGTCCAGCTATATATTCAAAACCTTTCTCGACTATGTCAGTCTACTTCTTAGTTAACCCATTATAAGATTTGGCAAGTAGAAAAATATACGTCAATTCCTGTAATGGATGACGGAAAACGCCTAACCAGCGAAGGCGATGCTCTATGATAATTAATTAATGCTCATTAATACAGGTATTTGAGTGAAGATGGATACAATCATGGGTGATTTTACCCACTCGAAGGATCCGTAAAATGTATCTTAGATATGAGTTGTCAAAGGCTGATAGCTTCTTAATATCTTCTACTCTCATTGGCCATGCTTCGCATCCATATAGCAAAATCGAGCGAATTAAGGTTACATGGGTGCGGAATAAATATTTCGTCTTTATGATGATTTCCAACGGTTCCATAAAGGTTCCATCGACCGGAAAAACATTTCTAAATATAATAGCAGTCGTTATCCGGGATTTTACCCTTTGCGTGGCCATTTGGGATTAGAGTGAATCCAAGACATTATAAGACGGCACTTCCTCAACCGCAATAAATCGATAAAAGTAGGTAGTTTATCTTGATAAAAGATTTTCATCTTATTTACATTAATTTTGAGTCCAATTCTCGTTGCAACTGTTAACACATTATTTAACATTATTTGCATGTCATTATATCTATCAACAAAAAGGACTACATCACCAGCGTATTCAAAGATTGCGATGTCATGCTCTGGACTGAATCTATACACTTCTTGAGTGCTGACAAGCGATGCTCATTATCCAGTCTATCGCATAATAAAATAATCTATTTTGTGCAATTCTGGATGATTTTTAACTCTACCATAATTTCTTCGAACCTTCTTTTCTCTTTGAACCCCTCACTCCTTGCCATTTATATTCTACTCGATTGCCAAATCCTTTTTTTCGTAGCTTTAAGGCAATAAAATAGGGTCAAGCAACATTGAGATTATGGTTTGGAGGAATTAAAGTAATAGTTTTAATTAGTTTTAGTAGATTTAAAACCAATAATATATTACAGATAAAAAATACGATTGGGTACTTTTTTTTAAGAGTCCTCACCATTATCGGCTAAACTCGCTCCACTGGCTTGTCGCATTGGGCAATATGCCAGGGATTCCTTTGGCGACAGAAATACAGGTGAGTCTTCAGCATCATCCGGATTTTTGTACACGTTTATTCCTATGGGGAATCAAACCTCAGCATCGGCACTCCCAACTGAGCAACAACCTACTGAGTCATTCTATTCTCATTCTACAATGGGATATTAATATGTTGGGCTGGACTTGAGAAAACTTTCTGATAATAAGAATTATGTGAAAACAATGGAACGGATTCTTAGTATGGGCTAAGAGGAAGAATTATTCTGCGCTATTAGACAGTGAAACATCCTAATCATTATCGCAGCTTGGATATAAACGAAATGCAATTTCAATTTATATAATTATTCACAAGTTTAAAACCAAGGCCAATTAAAACTGATCACTTGGTTCATCAAACTCTTTAAAATTATAACAATTAAAATCAAATATTTGGAACAAAATGTTAGAGGAATATAATGAATCTTAAGGTGATTTTACAGGGTAAACCAGGATTTGGAAGCAATAAGCCCTTCCACTAGCAAAGTAAAGAGAATATGAAATGATTAACTTGTTATACCATTATTCACTATAGAAATGTTTTCTGATTCTTGACTCTTTTCGTTAAACTGTAAATTAATGGTTCGTTCATTTACATTAGATTTGTCGATTATCTCAAAATGAGCGTTAGTCCTTTCACTTGCGTAAGACCTATCGACATTCCTTTGCAGTAAATTCTTTTTCATTTCCTTAACTCGTTTTGCGAGTGGTGATTCGATTGAATCCTAAACAAAATTATTTTGAAAAACTAAAGGAAATAAGTGATTAACTACTTCTGACTAAACATACTTCACTGCCTAATGTGATTAAAAATTTCTGCGAGGGAATCCTTGGCGACAAAAACAGATACACAGTCAGGTACTAAACCACGATTTTTTTAACGACAGGTTTCCCGTCGAAAATAATCGCCGAACCCTTTAAATGATAATCTGAACTACTTGGTTACCTTACCCACTAAAAAACTAATGAAATTATAAAATTAATGAAATTCGAAAGAAATTGAAAGTCGATTGTGAAAAATGCTTCAAAATAAACGCAAAAATATATCAATATCAATTATTCGATTATTATCAAATACCACTTATCCAACACTCAATGATAAGACACAACTGGCAGTATGTGTAGGGGGGGGGGGGGGGGGGGGGGGGGGGTCAACATTGAAACTCGTTATTGCGACGTTTCGCACGGATAATCCGCAAGTATCCATAAAATTATTTTTATCAATCTTATCAATTTTTATTCAAAATATACAATTGCCTTCAATTCTATATGAATAAAATACAAGCAAAATTTAAAAATTTGGAAGGAAATTCAGACCATGTAACGATCTCTCTGCCTTAGGCCTGGGCCTACCCAAGGCTTTTAAACATTGTGTTTTTGTATAAATTAGCTATAGTCATGGTTTTTAAGCGAGATTTTTCATGACTTCAATTTGCACTAAATGAGTGCAAGTTCAATTGTCATTAATGCAATTACCTGTTGACTGATAATTTTTTGGTGAATTTTGTCGTTTACATTAGATATGGATTCCTCTTGATTTGTCTCATCTTCAGCGGCTTTTCTCTTGCGTTCTTCGCATATACGTTTAAGTTTATTCATTTTGCTGTCTAAACATTTCTAAAATCTTTCGCTGTATATTTTCTAACAAAATAATTTATCTAAATTTGAAAAGAGTGTCTTAATAAGCTACATTAATTGTAATAAAGAATGAATTTTATTTCAACTTTTTAATTTGCTTTATGTTGGTTAAATCCACTTCACTGGCTTATCTGACCAGAGAGATTCTGCTAAGGATTCATTTGGTTGGAGATATAAAGTGAATTGCCAGTAACGAACTTTTGAAAAAAACATATATTGCGGGAATATAACAAAATCCCAGAAAATGCCAAATTTATTTCAAAATTTACTATAAACTAATTTAAATTAAATGAATTGCTAATAAAAAACAACGAAAAAGCAACGAAGCGGAATGAATAGCGGAAAAATAACTTTTTCTATTTCCTCTTTCGAATATTTTTTACACGCAGTTTTATTCGAATTTTTTTCTTCATAATAATCATAATAATCATGAACACGAATTTTTAGGATGACTGACTGTACAAGAGGAATAATTACATCTGTACATAAAGTCAACCTTTCAACATTATGCCGATCGGTATCAAGAAAATTTCTAACTTGTTCCGTTATCAGTGCTCCAACATCGACTTCTTCTGCAAGTTTACTCGCATGAAAGGAAAGGAAAAACGATAAAAATATTTTTGCATATTCTCATAGCACTCATAAGTAAGCTTTTAAATGCTAAATAGATTAGAAATCTTCTCATAAACAGCGAAGAACTTTTGCATGGAATAAAATAAAAATTAAACCATTTGCTTGCACTTTTTTCATTGCTATCCTCATAATTTCCAATACCACAGGTGCTATATGATCAAGGGCATTCGCTTTTTCAGTTTTACCATCCAAATTCAAATTTTTTACCGCGCTTACAAACATCATCATCAAATCACCTAAAATAAGAAAATATAAAAATATTAAAAAATATTAAACATTTAATATTAAAATATTATATGCCAGATAAATTTCATTATTTTATTAAGAGAAGCGTGTTAAAAAAAAAAAAAAAAAGAATGTTTTTATTGGTCGACGCCTGCTTTATAGTCATCGCGCAGTCATAGGACTCTCAATGATATTGTGGTACTCCATTACCTGTGGTCGGTAGGTATGGCATTACGTTAATGAAAAACATTTTTCCCTTTATACTCATCAGCTTGGACCTTTTATCATCAGTCTATGCTTTCAGTACTGTAAAAAAAATTTTGGCAAATTGTCGATCATTAGGGTTTATACTAGAAAGAAGCATACGGTGGGATAGAAACTGGCAATTTCCATGGATCGGAGCAAGCATTTGATGCTTAGAACCAAGAATAACTTCGTCGCCCATCATAAGGAATTTATACACATCTCGTTATTTGCCTTGCAAAGAATGGTATCAAAAAAAAAAAAATGCCGGAGGAAGATCGTATGCACAGGCGCCTCTCAGTGATATTAAGCGGAAAAGGGCGCTCTGCATAGATTAGGATACTCGAAACTGACGTCTTACCGGTCTCCAGTCGTTGCCTATGGAATGGGGCAAAAAAATTAGGACGCCACCAAGCCACCCACGCATATAACCTAGCAAATAAGTGCAAGCAAATTATAAATCTACTGCTTATAATTTTGGGGGAAAAAATTTATTATATTTAAACTTACCATTACTAATCGTCAATGGTGAAACGGAATTAGTTGATGAAGTTTTCTCATTTAGTTCATTCTTTTCCAGTTCCAATTCACTTCCTTTTGATAATCTATTATCTAATTCATTAATTTTTTCGAATTTTCTTGACTCAATCGATGATTCTTTTTCAGATATCAAATTCGAATCGCTTCGATCAATTGTCTCAGTTGATTTCTTGCGTTTAACGCATTTTTGCGTCAACTCATTATCGTCAGATTCTGAATCGCTATTTCCAAATATTGCAATAATATCAGCGTTATTTCCCATTGCATCGCCTTAAATACTTTTTTTTTTCCTTTCAGATTATTGCTTTCTTAAGAGCGAATTTTCTAGGGAGAAATGCGAGGGATAACATATGAGATGATGAATAGTGTTCAAATCAAAACCAATAGAGAATTTTTAAAAAAAATCCCAACGATAAACGGCAAATATATTTGTAAATTTCATTTTTAGCGCCCTAAATTTAGGCAAAAATTAAAAATATTTAAGCTTAAATTTAGATTTTAACTAAAGCAATAGCAACAATATTTCATTGATGAAACAAATAGCAATAAATTTAGCTTTGAATTTTATAAATTTCACAAATATACAATTTATAGAAAATAGCAAATTTCTCTTTCCAAAACTTCATATATATATTTTGATAATTCGTTATTTTCATTTTTTTTTTCGAAAAAACGAAAGGCGATAAATCAAATTCCTCTCATGGGATGGGATTTTCGAATAATTTCCTTTGATAAATTGAGACAATTGATTGATTAAGTGATAATTAAGATAACTTATTGAAATTAACCTCTTAATATATTAATTTATAATTGCTTATAAGCATAATTCATTGAAATTTTGTAAATAGAAATTTGCCTAGATTAATAGAGAAAATCGCCGGCTATGGATTATAATTAATATAACTAATATAATTGTTACTCAATTAATATAGAATTATTTTCTAACGACTTGATGACTTGCACACAACGCCTTAACATGTTTTGTTAGCAAACAATTTTGTTATTAAAATATAATAAATTTTTTAATTTATTTTTTAATATTAACCAATAATATTGCGGACTAAAAGACTATATATGTTCGAAATAAATCGAGTAAAAATAATCGAATAAAATAAAATAAAGATAAGTGATAAGCATAACCATACATATCATGATAGTAGAAATTATATGAAAAATTATAAAATTTGCAAGAATCTTTGCGAAATAACTGCAAAACTATAGAACTATTGAAAAAAAAAGTGTTAATCTAACCAAACTAATCAGAAAAAGGTTTATTTTTCTAATTTTTCAGTTTTCAACAATAAGAATAGTCCGCTAAACTCCATTTTACATAATATCCGTTCAAGAGCAAAGAGCAATACTGTTTCTCTCCAACTGATAAAAAATGATAAAAAAGTTTTGCTGCAACACGCAAAATCACCCAACTCTACTGTACAACGAAAAATGAGCGTAGATAATGAAGCTTTAATTTTGCTTGTTTCAGGCTCGCCATGCGATGAAAACCATATCAGGCAACGATAATAACACAATAGAGCGCCTATGCTGAGGCTATAAGGGATTAGCATAATTCTCGTTCCGTAAAGAAAACAGCCAATATTGTGAAAGTTCGAATAAGCAATGTTTCAGCCAATTTCGAGTTTGCAATTTCAAGACGACAGTCGTAAAAATGAATAATTTTAGTAAGCGGCGCAACTAGCCAAATTAGAAATGAGCTACAATTCGATGATAATATTGCTGAACGATTTGTGCTTCAATAACCTTTGAAGCCATTTACACCAGCCAACCTCTTTTAAGCGAAAATACCAAAATCGATTCATCATAAGCTTTCGCGTTATTTTTTTATTGACTAGTTGAAGTTAGCAATGCTTGCAATTCCTATCTTTTGATTTTAATATGAAATATTTTCAGTGATTACCGAATAAATTCTTCAGCGACTATAGAATCGCATATACTTGAGAATGTACAAAATTTGCATAAAATTTAGAATTCAGCAACGAACGTCTCAGCAATTCGAGCCTAAAACCCAATAACCACACTATAAAACAATAAAGACACAGCGATAATATGATAGGCTGGAAAATGTACACTCTCATCCATGCCATTACACACTAAGAATACTTGGGCCCGAATCTGGCTGATGCACTATGCTTTGTTAGACGCTAGCGTCTCAAATAATAGTTCAAAAATTAGAATATTTCGGTATAACGAAATGAATGCGCCGAGAGGACGAGCAAAACAAAACAGCAATGCTCTTTTAAAATGTATGAATAATCGAATAAACTGCAAATAAATCTATTCAACAGTAAGATTCGTAATTCTTCTAAGTCGAAACGAACTGAGATTACATAATTTTCGTGGGATTTACAAATAAAAATTAGAATTAAGGATTTCGATAGCATATAAAATAAAACTCTCTCATACTCTCATATTTGACTTATTTATCATATCTAAAGCAAAACTAAACTATATTATTCTGAAAGATGCTGATAAGAATCGAATCTAAAAGTTCTAAGCTTATTATCCGTTACGAAGATTAAAGCAATAACTACATGCATAGGTAAAAACAGAATATCCAACATATAATGATGGGAGATCATACGATATGATAATTTAAAAATTTAATTGGAATTATAGACTAAGCTATAGACTATCGAAATTCTATGTTTCTCCTATATAAAATCCGAATTTTAGGACTGAAATTTCACGATCAGGACTTAATATATTTTTAAAATGAAATAAAGTGTAAATAAATAAATGAAATGAATTAAATAAAATGAAATTAAGTGGCGAAATTCAAGAAATTACATATTTATACAAGGATAATGAGGAAAGGATAATTCTAATCATATACGAAAGTTTTCAAGTGTATAAATAAAGTGCATAAACTTGAGGCAGACGTAAACTTCCATTAAACAGATATCCATACTACGAGTGGAATAACTGAAAAAATACGCCAGAAGGATTTAAAAATTTGACGCATTAACTAAATAAGAATAATAAAAACAATAAAAACTAAAAAAAATAAAATAATAATTAAAATAATTTAAAAATAATAACTAAATTATTTGAAAATAATTTAATGCTTCTACTATAATATTCATTCCAAAAAAAAAAAACAACCATCATTTATGCTGAAATATTTTTTGAAAAAAACCGAAAGAAATAGCAATACGGTAAGCAGTTAAAGAATTTATTATAAAAAAGAAAAATATTTTTTGAACAAAGGATTATAATGAATCAGCTATTTGATATTCAAATCGTACAAAAATTCTTTTTTTCTTTCTTTATATAGAGATTCACATCTGCTAGCTAAATTTGCAAAAAATTATCATATTTGCAAATCTGTTAGATATAGTTTTGAATCAGCCGTAGCTTTAAAAAAATGATTTTCAGCCAATTTTTGGATTTTTATTTGGATAAAAAATTAACTTTGTATGGAATTTTTTTAGGCAAAATTAATTTTGTACGGAATTTACCTGCATAATATTGTAAGTCCAACCAACATATGGGCAATATATTATCCCAGATTCCGTTCAGAGGGTATCTCTTTGAGCCAGAACTCAAGGCGAAGTTCGGTTGTTTCTTCTTTAACCTAATTCTTTATTCGTCTCAATTATTAATCCCTTCTGTTTGAACCGGTCTAACTTCATACTCTACTTTTATTACCAAATACCACTGTATTAACCAGAATAAAATAATGTAACCGCGACCAACTTTCCCTGAAGCCTCAAAAAGGAACAAGATAGGATGTGAAAAAATTCATGCTTGAATGATACGATACCTGTTGCGCAGTTTCTCCACATTGCTATTCAAGATCCTCTCTTTATACCCACCCCGCTCCAACTCTTCGCCCCGACCCACGACAAACCCAACCCTGGAAGACCACATCGCGGGAAGTCAGGCTCCGCCAGACCAAATCCCGCACACGGAGCCCAGGCAGTGAATCCCACCTCGAGACAAGTGAAACCCACACCAACCCCGCCAACTCAGACCCAGAACCTGCCAACCCCCTTCTGCCCCATGACCTCCACGACGACAAGTGTTTTGAGAATGATTGACCTTCTTTATATAGTCAGACTGAGGGCGGAGAGAATTGTCATTGGTTTCTTTACTATTTTATTTGTTTCTCTAAACCTCTAACTTTCTCCTTACTATATTTCCTAATTGGGTGGGGCGAACGGGTTATCTTTATCTCTATATACCCAGAAATAATGCGCCCATTCGGCAACATTAAGAGTGGGTGGAGTTATCTCATCGGTCGTTTTTTCCAGTCGTTTCCTTCTCACTTATACTCTTTGGGTGAATATAGGGGTGTGGAGTGGTGGACGAAAGAAAACCTTATGCCGCGACGGAATTTACCAATCCACGACTCATAAAATTTATTTTTTACTATCCTCCTTATGCATAAAATATTCACAAAATAACAACTAACAACTATTTGCGCATCCCAGGAAAAAAGTCGATTTCAAAAATTTTCTTATATGAAAAAATTGAGCATAGGGATTTTTAATTTTTCATTCCTTGACATTTTCTTGAAAGATTTGAAAATTTAGATTTAAAAATTTGAAAATTTTTTTTTCTGCATTTCACAACTAGTGAGAATAAATTGTCGAATAAAATAAAATTTAAGTCTGATAAATCCGATAAATAAAATCTGATAAAATCTAATTTGATATTCCTTTTCGGTTTGATTGATTTAAAAAAAGAAAGGTTTTTTTTTTTAAGAGTCCTCACCATTACTGGTTAAACTCGCCCCACTGGCTTGTCGCATTGGGCAATATGCCAGGGAGTCCCTTGGCGATAGAAATACAGATGAGTTGTCGGCTGGAATCACCTGGAATCTATTGGTAATGTTATTATTCATCATAAATTAAAACTTAATAATGGAGATAAGATATGAAAATAATAAAGCAGAAATTAAAGCGATGTTATAGGAGTGTAAAGAAATTTAAGAATTATGAAATATAACCTGATTCGAAGAGAAGTGTTCCAGTCTAAATGACGGGTTTTTTCTTAAATAAACAATAATGTCCGCTGTTGAGATGAAAAAAACTTATTTAAACCTAAAAATCAATAGGAGAAGCGTAAGATGATTGCATTTACCTTAGTTTATACCCATTTGCGCTCATAATCTACTCGTATTTCCCAATTTAAATTCATGGGAACGCTTGTTAGGCTTAAAAATTATTTGTGGGAAAATTATTTAACGATAGAAATAAGGGTGAGTTCGTTAGCGCCACTCAGATTTTTGTTTAACAATAG